AAGATATTTAGAATTTTTAGTGCTTGCAAAAATATTTGATTTTGACTTGAGAATTTTTTTTCAAGTAAATAAGAATATTGGTTTAACACCTGTTTTCATAAAAAATCCTGTTGAAAGGAATTTAATTAAGTTTTATAAAATACAAAGATGAGAGATAATCTTAGGTTCCATCAATTTTCTTTGTTTTTAAAACACTCTTCAATTTAATTTTCATTAATTTTACACAAATTTACACTTGATTTTGCTCAACTTAATCCAAAACCTGATAGTAAATTTTTCACTTTTTTTTTTTGCTTTAATTCTTGTGGGAGCAATATTTTTAATAAAATCTACTACTTATGATAACTTGTGTGCTTGCGATAACACTTAATAGCGAACAACATGTCATTGCCAAACCACTTTGAATTGGAAATGATATTTTCATTATTTTAAATATTTTATTCTCTCTCTCACACGCACATATGCATATAAAATTTTATTTTTTATTTAATTATTATATTACCTGTTAGACGGCCAGTTTATCCCATGAAAATCATGACTCTAAAATTTCTGGTTTGTGGTCCGATCTATTTTTCTATTTAAGTAAAATCATGTGCGCGCACTTTAATTCCAATTCCCGCGGTACGCATCATGCATTTAGCTTGGAGAGAGAGAGAGAGAGCCAGCGTCGTGGGTAATGCAATGTTGATTGTGGAACACACATAGGGGTGAGCAAAATCAAATTGAAACTGAAAATCGAACCGAATCGAATCGAATTTTGTCTATTTGATTCGGTCTATTTGATTTTTCGGTTTGAGTCAGTTTTTTTATTTTAAATATTCCGGTTGATCGGTTCGATTCGGTTAGTAAAATTTAAAATCGAATAGATCGAACCGACCAAATTACATATAATTTATTAATTTATAAATTATATTTAATTTATAAATTATTTTATTTTTATTTTTTATTTTAATAAAGAATAAAAAATAATAACATCACTTGAAACCCCATTTCAGTCAGTCACTCTCATTAGTAGGTGTTGTGATTGGATTATGAGGCCATTATTTGATCATCGGTGTTTATTTGTGGTTGTTTATTTGATTATCCATGCCTTTATAATATTTGGGCTTTATGTCATATGAGTGTAATTAAAATGGGCTCATATTAAAAAAAACGAATAGAAAAAAATGGCCCAATTTTGTAGTGTTGTTTGTTTTAATATTTAAAAAATAGGCCCAATTTTAATAGCCAAATATGAAACTGAAAAACCGAATTAACCGACCGAACCGAATTATCAAATTTCGGTTCGGTCCTTGTTCGGTTTGATTGGCTTGTTTGGTTCGATTCGGGTTTTATTTTCAGTGTTATTCGATCGATCGGTTCTGCACATTTTGGGACCAAACCGAACCGAACTGACCGATGCTCACCCCTAAACACACAGGCCCCGCATAGTACAAAGCATTAAATTGTATGGAAATGGAATTAAGATTGGGTATGAAATTGGGAGTGGAATAACTTTTAACATTATATTTGATACAGGGTAGGATTGAAAAAAAAAAAAGTAATACTCAAGTGAAGCCAAAAAAGAAAAAATTGAGAAAGGGAAAAGACACAATTCTCCCCGTCACCATTTTATGTGCTGCTGAGGATGAAGATGAACATTCACGACTGGGTTCAGGAAAAAACCCAGAAAAACGGAGATCTGAACCAGAAAAAACCAAAAAAGAAATTTAGATCTGTCGAAGATGAAGATGAACTGGGTTCAAAGATCTGAACCCATGGCAAGAAAGAAATAGAGTTCGAAGTCGAAGGATCATCTAGCGAAGTCTCGAAGCAATTCATGGATCTAGGTTCGAAGACATGTCGCCGCCAATGAACTAAGGAAGACAAATCCGACCCCGCCACTAAGCTAAGGAAGTAGTAAATCTGGACCCTGGAACTTCCTCCGACGCCACTAACCAGGGTTCAAAATTGAAGACGAAGGAAATGGAATTCCAAAAGGCTTGAACCTAGTGATGATCTGAACTCGTGAAAACGAAAGAAGATGATAAACTGACGAGGATGATATGAACCCATGGCAGTGAAAGAAGACGACAATGTGAATCTGAATGGATTGTCATAGGAACAAGGGCATTTTGGTCTTCAATGGATTAATCTCAGTAATATTATCAAAGGTGGTGGTACTAGATAATCCCATTAGGATTGGAATTACAATCTCCATTATCACATACCAAACATAAAAATTTAGTATTACCCAATGCCAATTTCAATCTCACCTTCTCAATCCTTCATACCAGAATAGGGCCATATATAATTAAAATATAGTATATATTGCAAACCGTACTACAAGAAAGAGTTTAAAAATACATTATATACAAATTTATCAATATTTATATTTTATAGAGCAATATTTTTAATGACAATTTGTACAACTAAAATTAATTTTAACTAAATCATCCAAACATATTCAATTTTATTAAAATCAATTTTAGAAAATAACATCCAAACATAATTATATTATAACATAATCAACTATAATCAAAATCAATCATATTAATCAATTTTTTTATAATTAGTTTTACCCAACTGAAATCTAAACACATCCCTTTATTTTCAATCCGTCCCTAAATGTCCATTACTAATTTTAAATTTTCTAGTTGTGATTTATAAAACACACAACACACATTATTTACAAGCATATGAGAGAATAAAACCAAATTTTCCTTACTCCTTATCTAATACAAATCAAACCTTGAGGGATTCCAAGGAACACCTCTCACCGTTATCATTAATTATCTACACATTTCTTATTCAAATCAATCCATACTAGGCTCAAGGAATTAATTTGAATCCCAAAATCCCCAATTATCGCCTCTAGTGTCAAGTCGCGGCTATTCAATTCATATCCCCTTACTCAACTAATTCATTAGTGTACGTACAAAGAATATCAATTACCATACATTTACTCCAATTTATCAAAATCTTCCCATTTATGCCTTTTCTTGTATAAATGTTTGGGTCATTCATGTAAATTAAAGGTCATGTTTGTCGCAAGTTTAGTATACTAAATAATTAATTTTTCATATAAATGCTTGGTATTCAAATCTAATGTGATAAAACCCTATCCCAGACTTTATATGTTACTTTCTCAACACATATTTTATTAATTAGAACTAATGGGCTAAATAATTAAATATAATTTCCCTCTTGATTATGGATGACTTCAATTGGATTCTTTCATTTGAAACTCTCCCTCAGTTGTATGATCAAAATCTAATTCAGGTTGCACTTGGATGGGTGGATTTGGGTTGAGAAATTAGATTTAAAATCTCACATTTAAAATTAATAAATTCTATATTTTTTGGTTGGGTAATACAAAAACAATTTAAATTATAATACTAAAATTCTTTGTTTGGATCTTAAATAAACTTCCAAATTTTAAATTCTATGATTAAATTAAAAGGCAACTCAAATGATGTCAGTAGTTCGATCTTAGTCAAAGTCGGCTGTCTAGTCTAGATCAGGGTTGGTGGCCTGGTCTTGATCGGCATAAGCTATTTGATCCCAAACAATGCCTATGAATTACCATGGGACGGTTGTAGTTATCCAAGGGTTGTGGATTGGACCTAGATGACATCACTAATCATTCCCTATTAACAGTGACGTTTAGCACTAGACGATTAAGGTAGATGGATCCAAGATGGTAATCACAAATCAATCCAAATGGTGACAACGATGGTGATGGCGGATCCATACCAGTTGGATGTGATAGACCAGCATCAGACAGTGGTAGTGGATCAACACTAGATGATGATACAGGACAAACATCGAATGACGATGACAGAAAATTGGTACTTAGTAGACGGGGGTGGTAGAGTAAAAATACTTGGAAAAAAATAAAAAAAATTGTGTGACTCGATAATTGATTCTAGATCTTCTTTTTTGTAGTATTTTTGGATCTGCAACTTCAACCATCTTTTTCTTTTTCTTTATTCTTGGTGTCTTTAATCCATAACTTTTAGGGGATCCATGCTTATAATCAATATATTATAATTTTTAGTGACTACATAATATATCGTGGAGGAATTTTTAAAAATGAGTTAGGTTGCCAATTATATACATGGAGAATTTTTTTAAAAATAATTTGAGTTAACTGTTGAGTGTACATATGGAGAAATTTTTATAATTTAATTTTTAACTATCATATGAGAGATGATATTTTTTAATTTCTAATTGGACGTCCATTTGGATGCCACATGTAAACATATGTGGGATTACTAGTAGACTTGGCTCCTCTCCATTTCTTCTCTCTCTTCACTTTCCAACTCTACCCTTGAATTTATTTTTTGAATGATTGAGATTTAACATTTCATAAAATTAATTTTTTAAAAACTTATAATTATGATACTAGATCTTAAATGGTAGTCTAGATGAAATTAGTTATATTTTAAATTTATTTATTATAAATTTTACATTTTAATAATAATTTTATGAAACATTAAATCTCATCCATTCAAAAATAGATCCAAATGTTGAGATGAGAAGTGGAGAGGAGGTGGAGGGAGGAGAGAATGAGAGAAACCAAATCCCTTACTAACTTAAATTAACATCCATTTTTGGCGCGTTAATAACAAGATGTATGGTTAGGCTTTTAATGTTTAAAGGAAGAAATGATCCAAAATCAAATTTAAAATATTAGTCGCAAGTAAACACCTCGAGAGCAAAAGTCACTTTTAAGTTTTCACTGACTGGACATCTAATGTAGATGTCACCTGTAAATTTTTTGTCCAAAGAAATTGGTTAACGGGTGCATTAACCAGAAACGGCCGGATTTTTAAAACATTTTGAAAGGAAAAAAATTATTCAAAATCGAATTTAAAATATACCTAACTTAAGTAGTTGGTGGACCTCTGAGAATGATAGTTGGCTAAAGAACGGTAGTTTGAGGCATTTTTGTCAAACAAAAAAAAATAAAAATAAAAATTGGGTAGACGTTAAACATTCGGATCGAACAAAACAAACACTAATACATGTATTTTTACCTTCAAATTTCACCATCTTCGTCTTTTGGTTCTGCTTTTGGATCTGCAACTTCAACTTCAGTGGAGAGACACAGCGAGGTATGAAGCTTAATTTGCCTTCATCTACACCAAACTCTTTGTTTTTCTCAATCATTTACCATGGTTTTTTCCTATCTCTGAGAAAATCTCCTACCTTTTTCTGCTTATTGTTACTCTCTGGTTACCATTTACTCTCTGCTTCGACCAAGTTTTATGAGACTGATTTTACATGCATCTAAATTATTTGTTATGAAGAACAAAACAAACAGATCTATTCATCTAGACGACTTCAAATTCCAGTGGTCAAAATAGCCACCATGAAAATATTTTGTGCTTCTTATAACGTGATTATCTGTTTTTTTTAATATCTTTTTTTGGTAATAGGTTTACTTTTCTTTTAAAAAAATGTTGTCTATTTCTACTCTGATTAGGGAAGGTATTGCCTCCATTTTCTTGATTCGTTTGTTTCTTGGTATAATTTTTGGATCTTTGTTTATTTTTCTTGAGATGAAAGAGCTGATGAGGTTATTTTAACCGTTGTCCAATTAGCATGCTAAAATATTAATTAAAACAGTAGTACATATATTATTAAATAAGTAAAATTATTGGGCAGTAAATGCATTCCAAATCTCTTAATTTATATAATTCATTTGCACTTTCATTTTTCTGTAGAGATCATAAGATATCTGTAATTCCAGTGTTTCCCTTGCTCCATCTCCAGCTTCAAGAAAAGAGATAGTAAGGTATGATTTCTTTCAATCCCCTCCAGATTACAATAGAATTAATAAGCAAAGGCAATGCAGTAACTTTTTTTTTCCCAATAAAAAGTGAATTTATCATATCAATTTAGTCCGTTAAATTTATTTATTTTTCATACCAATTCAACCCATTTGGTATTTTTTTTTAAATTATCTTGTTATTCATTTAAGTTTTTAAAAATATTTTGATAACTTGACATTTATATGTAGCTAAAGAAGAACAAATTAATCCTTAAATTAATTTATTTTTTATTAATCTAGTCCCTTATACTACATTTTGTTCTTTTATTTTTTTAATAGTTCTTAGGCTCTTTTTTCTACAAAATAATCACACTTCTTTTTAGTAATCTACATAACTGCTATCAATATTTCGTTATCATTGTTAACAGATTTTAAAAGTATGATCTCCTATTTAAACAATAAGGATTAAATTGAAAATTGAAGCAAATTTAAGGGATCAAATAGATAAACATAAAACTTAAAGGATCAAATTGATAAGTTAGGCAGACTTTAAGAATTAAAAGTTTCATTATGATTTTTATTTACAAAAGAACTGATAAAAATAACTTTTAATTATTATCGACTTGACTAAACCATACAAGTAACATTTAATTTGGTACCGTCCCAAACTCATCCATCTCTCATTTGTAATGTATTAGGGGATATCATTTGTTGAAATGACAGAGGTGGTTATCACGATTGCTACCAAAATCTCAGAATATTTGGTGGGTCCTGCTATACGTCATGGATATTACTTGTTTTGTGTTGGCAAACTCACTAGAAAGCTTGAGGAGGAGAAGAAGAAGCTGATATCAAGAAAAGATGATGTGTCTCAATAGGTTGAGGAAGCAAAGAAGAAAACTGAGAGGATTAAACCAGTAGTGGAGAAGTGGTTGCAAGAAGTACAAAGCCAGCTACAGGATGTGGAAAATGATATAGAGATATTAGAGAGAGCCAATGGTTGCTTTTATGACTTTTGTCATATTAGAAAAAGATATGGTTTGTGCAAACAATTAGCGAAGAAGATAGAGAGAATGATTGAGCTCGACAAGAACAGCAAATTTGACATATTTTCTCGTCTTGCTTCACTTCCAACAAATATTACCTCTTCAACAAATATTATGTTGTTTGAATCCACTCAATTGGCTCTCAATCAACTTCTGGAGGTGATGAAAGATGATGATTGCCACATAATATGCTCATATGGAATGGGAGGATGTGGCAAAACAACGTTTGCAAGAGAAGTGGGCAAAAGAGCTAAAGAGTTGGAACTCTTTGATAAAGTTGTATTCACTGTTTTGTCTCAAGCCCTAATTGTTAGAAAGGTGCAAGGTGAAATTGCTGACGTATTAGGTTTGAGTCCATTACTTGAAGAAAGTGAGGCTGGAAGGGCAAAAAGATTATCATTGGGATTCCAAAATGGGGGGAGAATTCTTGTTATCTTGGATGATGTTTGGGGAGTGTTGAATCTTGAAGACTTTGGTATCCTTTCAAATGGCAACCTTAAAGGCTGTAAAATCTTTTTAACTACACGTGTCCAGCAACTTTGTTCTATGATGAATGGCCAGAGGAATGTTCCACTACATCTCTTATCACCACAAGAAGCTTGGGCTTTCTTTGAAAAGAAATCATGCATAGGTGAGGACTCTTCATTAAATAGTGTGGCACAAGATGTTGTTGCTGAATGCAAAGGACTACCCATAGCAATTCAAGCCGTGGCAACAACTTTGAAAGGAAAGCCTCTTGATAGTTGGAATGATGCTTTATATAAACTAAGGCGCTTAAAACCTATTGGAGTTCCTGCAGGTGTTATAGATGCTTTTAAATGCACTCAATTTAGTTATGATGCTTTGATAAGTGAAGAAGCAAAGCGTCTCTTCTTAATGTGCTGTATTTTTCTAGAGGATTATGAGATCAAAAGAGAAGACCTGTTCATGTATGGAGTGGGGTTGGGCTTGTTCAGGGAAGAAGATGATTCATTTGATGATTTAAGGAGTAGAGTAAATGCAACTTTATATCATCTCATTGATTATTCTTTGTTGATAAATTATGAGATGAGAGATGATTGTTTCAAAATCCATGATGTTGTGCATGATTTTGCTAAATAGAAGGCATCCCAAGAGGATTGGGTTGTCATTGTTGATCATGAGAAAGGGATAAATTCCTTGGTATTGGATGGGACAGGTAAAAATTCTTTCGCAATATCTACATGGTCCATTAGAGAGGATCAATTTCTCCAACAATTAAATTTTCCAAAGCTTGAGATTCTATTGCTCAATTCAACTAATTCCTTGAATTTGTCTCAAGCATCATTTGAAGGCATTAAAGGACTCAAAGTTATGGCTTTGGTTAATGAAGAGTACTATTTTCCATTGAAGCCTTTATCACTACCACTATCAACTAATTGGTTGACTAATCTTCAAACTCTACGTTTGGTGTGGTATGATTTAAGTGATATCTCATTTGTCATTTATTTAAAAAGACTTGAGATTCTTGATTTGCATGGGAGTAAGTTCAAGTCATTTCCAAAAGGAATAGAAGAATTGAAAAAATTGAAGATTCTTGATATGAGACGTTGCTCAATTAGTGAAAATTTTGATGAAGGAATTGAAAGGTGTTTGCAACTTGAAGAATTGTATGTGTGTGGAAATGAAGCATTTGTTGGAAAAAATATTGATTCTCATGTGCCCCTTTTGGAGGGTGATCTTTTTCAAAAATTGCATAGGTATGAATTACAAATGTGGAATATGGAAAATGATTCCAATTTTCGGGATAAAAGATACCGGTCATGTCTATACTTTAGAAAGTTATATATCTCCAACATCAGTATATGTGTCAAGAATTTAATAGCGAAAGCAGAATGCATTCATTTAAAGAATCTTCATGGAGGATGTAAAAGTATCTTCCCAGAATTGGTTGGAGCTGTGGGAAGCATGAATAATTTGATTGAATTTTCTCTTCTTCATTGTCATGAGATTGAATTCTTCATTGCAAAAGTTTCTTGCTTTCATGTTGACAAGGTGTGTAATTTGCGGAATCTGCGACAACTTCTCATTAGGGGATGTCCAATGTTGACATCACTCTTACCATTGACAGTTGCTCAATCTCTATCACAATTGGAAGCCATAACAATAAAAGGTTGTTCCAATTTGAGGTATATAATAATGAAAGGTGAACATAATGCCACGGATGGAAGGCAAGAAGTATTTCAAGGATCAAAAAGTTCTAATTTCATATTTCCCAAATTGAAGAGCTTGATTGTACAAAATTGTGACAAACTGGAATACGTACTTCCAATTTATTGTGCTCAAAACCTCTCACAACTGCATAAGATAAGGATTGAAAATATCTCTCATATGAAGTATGTGTTTGGCAAACATGCAAATGAGGATCTTTCAACCAATAAGCAGAATGAGATACAGATCATGCTTTCACAATTACAAGAGATAGTTCTTGAGCACCTCACAAATCTAATTAGTATTTGTCCAGAAAATTGTTGCCCAATTTTGCCATCCTTAAAGCGAATCACATGGGAGAATTGTCCCAAGTTGTCAAACATTGTATGGATCCTCACTCTTCTCATTTGATTTGTTTTTATCTTTCAATAATGGTTTATGCATAATTATTTCCTAGTTTGAATTATGGAAATTGAAATTTAGAAATAAAATACATATATAGTATGATTCTTACAATTATACATGTTATATAATCTTTTCACTATTTTATTATCTAGAAATTTTAAAAAACATACAATAAAAATCCAATTCACCTAAAGTTTAGAAGTCTTTTACAAATATTTTAGAAGATTTTTTTTTTTTGCATAATACATTAATTTTACAAACTATATAAATGATAGTTTAGAAAACCCCTTCATCTATTATTTTGGTGAACAATTTATCCATATCTACCCTATAAAACCATGTACAGCAAGCCTTATCTTCTTCTTTTTTCTTTGAATGGCTTATAAAAAAGTTCATGCTTTCCTTGAACTCATTTTCTCCTTTTCTCTTTGGTTTTTGTTTTAATGAACCGATATGCATGTTTAGCATTTTGCTTTACTAAAAAAAAAAAAACAACTGATCTTTGATATTTCTCATTTTTTTATTATACTTGGGATTATTATTAGAAACATTCTAGCTATTAGTGTATCTTTGAGGCCCAAGTCTCACTCCAGCAAGAAGGCCCAAAATAACATTATAAAAGGCTCATTATGTCAAAATTGTATGTAGAATATTCACTAGACTACGTGTAATGTTTTGCTCTTATCTGATTGCACATGTATCACATGATGTAATGACCTCTTATTAACCACACTTAAACCAACTTATTAAAAACTAACCATCTTAAATAAGAGACTAGCTAATAAGGACAAAAGGGGTGAAATGATTATCACATATTAATTTTGGAATATTTTAAATCTTTGGGATCCAACACAGTTAAAAGTAAAGGTTAAAAGTTAAGACCCTTGAATAGTATTTAAAATCAGAGTATAAAAGGTTGCAAAAACATGGAAAAAGGTTTGAATATTAGAAATGGGTCAAAAAGGGGGAAATAATTGTTTCAACACCTTTGGGCAAATCTACCTTGGCAAAGGCATTTGTTTGTCATGACTTATGGCACATAGGCCACTAGACACAACCAAAAAAACAACACATATGCCACTATTAAGTAAGCATTCTGCTGCAGTGCCCATAGTAGAACAACATAAATATAATAGCAATGTAAATTCCAACTTTTGGGACATTTAATTTTTAACTTAGACCTCCAAATAAGGTGATTAAAACATCCACATGTAGATAAATAAATAAACTAACTAATGGCTCTAGTTTCATCCTAATTTAGAATCAAATGGGGATTTTAGACACTTTGGGTAAGCACCCACATATTACTATAATCTCAAATCAATCAAGTGCATCGATCACCTAACTCTTAGCCAGTAACCTTGATAAACAATCATGCATCAACCACATCCATAGATAAGCATGCAAAGACTCCACATGCATCAAGGATTCAACCATCAATCATAAATCACACTTGCATTATTGGCTCTCACTATAAAACCATAAGAAGGCCATAATAAGGATTGCCCAAGTCAACATTTGGGCTCATACAAATGCAATAGACTTTCTAACAAGTACAAACACCTAATATTGGAAATACTAAGTATCATATTGAATTATACAGCTAAATAACTACATATTTTACTTATGATATTAAATGTCCTTATTCTTCGATGCTTTCCCTTTAGTCTTACTCTTAATATTTCCTAAAAAAATGTTAATAGATGAGAGTGAGATTATACAATCTTAGTAATCAAGACATATAAATTCAAGCACATAAAAGTCTAACAAATACAAACACATAAGGCAAATATTCACATTTAACTTTCTATTGATACGTAACATATATCATAATACTTTTAATCATTAATCACACGCCATATAATTCAATGATGATAGTGATGTATGATCATATGCATTCTATCTTTATTCCTCTTCTTATATCTTCTAATTGAATCCATGAGCTACCAATCATATGTGACTAACTCGTTTGACTGGATTAGGCCTGCTCTCCAATTGCGAGGGGTTATCCATCCAAGGTACCCGCTCCCTACTTTTAGATCATGGATTCTTTCTTCCTGAATTACTGGGTCATTATAGTTGCTCAACCCCCATTGTTCCCCATAAGAAATCGATGATCCCAGGTAGCATGTTCACTTATATCATTCCTAAGAAAAAATGGACATAAATGCACTTTAATATATACCCTACTAAGATTTACGCTTAGCGGTTGGCATATTTGATTAAAGTGAAATATGCTTATGTTATTCAATAACATGTCATAAGTGCAAACTTGATTAACTTATCTCATAATCAAGTATAACCAATATTTAATCCCATGCCATAATCATATATTCATGCTTATCTTAATACCAAGCATTCAGTTAAGCTTATATTACTACTTAATCATGAAACTCAACTCATCATTGTTCATACTTATCATTATACTAAGTATTCACTTAAATATATATTACAACTCAATCATGAAATTCAACCCATTGTTATCTAAACTAATTATAATATAAGAACTCACCATAGCAACATAATTCTCAATCATCAATACCAACATGCTTACTATTCATATTATCAAATTTATTGTAGTTAATAACAAACCACTCATACATGCAACAATTATTATCTATAAGAATTTAACTCCCAATTACCTCCATTTTTAGGTTACCACCCCAAGAATACACTTTAAATTCTGAAGGAGCTTCCTAATAAGTATAAAATGCTCTAAAGTAGTCAATCTACAATTGAAAATTAACGAACATTATTAATGACTAATCTTTATTAATTAACCCTAATTATAGTTAAGGCCTTAAACCCTTATTAATGTGATTAAGCAAAATCAGTCACATTTTTCACTTCCATTAACTTATTTAACCACCAATAAATTTAATGCACACTACTAAGTCATTATATTAGCTTAAACCTAATTAAGTAGATTTAAGGTTAACTTTAAACCTGTCATTAACAACTATAATTAATCACTGCCATTAGCAAATTAAAAACTTAAAAGAGCAACCCTCAGACTTTACTGAAGTTATTAAAATGATAGAAATTATCTAAGAATTCAGATAATAACTTTACACCCCTTAAACATGGAAGAAAATACATAAGAGGGAGAGTAGATGAAGAAGAAAGGCTTATCTAAAGTTTAGATGGCCTAATAATATCCTCAAGATGTGTAGATAGCAAATCCTAGTAAAGAACTCTCATTTCCTTTAAACCTCTTTGAAAACTTCCTTCTTTTTTGCTACCTGAAATGCTAATATGTGAATTTAAAATTCACTATGTCTACCTTGACACATAATGCCATTCATATTGATTGATTGCCCAAAATGGCAACCCTATTCTAGATGAAAAAATTTAGGCTCAAAGTGGCCTATGGCTCTTCTAGTCCCCTTCTAAGCCTCATATAAGATCCAATAAACCTAAAGGCCATCCAATTACTCCAATTAATTAATTACCTTAATTATTTAAATTTAATTGATCTTATTTTAAATTTTGAGATGTTACACGTGACACCTCTCGATCATAATAATGTATAGACGCTTTACTCTGCTATAATCATGTTTATGGAAGATAATACATAATATTCATTATTTATGACTTGTCACCTTCATATGGTATTAGAGTAGGATGACTACAACCAAAGGTTTTCACTCCTTATCTTCCAATGCCTCTATTACTAGATCTTTTTCTTCCTATCCTTCTCATTTCATCTTTATTAAGTTTACACATGATAACTATGCCATTTGGAAGGCTCAAATGGTACCTTATCTTTATGACCAATAGCTTTTTTCTCTTATTGATAGATCTTATCCCCCTCTCCTTGGACATACTTCTATAGGAACTCTTAACCCAAAGTACATTAAATGGTTCTAACATGACCAATTAGTTCTTTCTATTATTATTTCATCACTTTTAGAATCTTTAACCGGTCAAGTAATAAAAAAAAAGACTTCACACACTATATGATTATCTTTTTTAAAAAATGTTTGTTAATAAATCTTAAGGCTAATTCCTTCAACTTAATCACTTCTCTAAAGAAAGGCAATGACTTCATTTCGCACTGCTACAAGAAAGCTTTATTATTAGTTGACTCACTCATTACTGTAGGAAAGCCCATTAATGACACTATATTTATCACCTATTTATTCAATGGCCTTGTTTCCAATTTTGAATCTATTGTGGCATGTTCCCTCTACTTCCAAAGACTTACTCTCAATTTCACATTTTTGTTATGTTAACTATATTTTTCTAGAATTTTATACCCCTCATTTCCTTGTGAAGGATCTTTAATCAAAGTGCATCCTCCACCAAGTTCAAACTAAACAATTCCTCGACCCTTTCAATCTTAAAACTTGTTTGGGAGTCAAAACATAAAAGCAATAATGGTTTGCGAGACTCAAGCATCTAACTTATAGGATTGTTCATCATGTCATTCTTTCTAAATACTCATTCCCAAATTTTTCTTATGTTATCTTTACTTTATGGGCCACTTGTAATTATTCTAAAAGCCATGTGCTTCCCCACCCTATCTCCCCTCATCAATCTCCCTACCCCTTATTCTTAATTTTTAGCGGTGTATAGGGCTCTTCTCTTTTGTTATCCATTTCTGGTTTTTGATACTATATATATTTCATTAACGATTTTACTAAAGTCACATAGTTTTATCCCTTCAAACTAAAGTTTGACATCATGATAGTGTTCCTTCAATTTCAAAAACAAGTAGAAAATCTTTTTAATACTAAAATAAAATTCTTAAAAATAGATGGTAGTGGAGAAATCCAAGCTTTACATAAACATCTTCAAGATTAATGGAATAATTCATCGGATCGCTTGTCCTTACTCTTATGA